GTTTACTGATCAACGACTTGAGTATCAGTTTCTCGAAGTAGACGTACGACTGAGCGATCGTCAGGAAATCGATTCCGCACTTGAATTCAGGGACAGACACACAGACAGTGAGAATAAATTCATATTATAATCATATATAAACATAATATTCTGTATATTCTGTGCAATTCTTCGAGCAATTTACGAATGAAATCATAATAAATGGATAAAACATTTATAACTCGAAATGCGATTTCGATATAAAATATAATGAAAAATAAGATTTGTGTTCATATAGTCTGATATGTATTGTGTTGGAAGGAGAGAGACAGACAGTTATTTTACAGACAGGTATTATATTGTGTGTGTGAGAGAGAGAGAGAGAGAGAGAGAGAGAGACTTTTATTTGTCATTTCGACGTTATGTTATTGAAAATAAAGTATTTTCTTATGTATAAAGTCACACAAATTCAGGACTAAATTCAGAAATATTATAATATTTTATATGATAAGTCTGTCGCAAATCAATAAAAACAATATTAAACTAAACTTAAACTCCAGACCAAACTCTACGGCATAATATTACTATTGATTCTCGAAAATAAATATCAATAAAAACTGTATAAAATAAATGTTGACTTAAAGTGAAGTCTGTTTTCTTAGGAATACAGAAAATTTGAATAAAACTTTTATTATTATATAACTGATGGCTATATTAGAGACAAATGTGTGAATTGTATTGTAGTGTAAATACAGACATAATATGATTATACGTGAAGGACTGGTAGCAGTTCTTACCTCATGTCTGGCTATTTTGGACATCTCTTTCTTCAAAGACCGTAATTTACTTAACGTTAACTGAATGTAAGGAAACCTTTCCTTGAATTTGTCGTTCAACTCCTTCTTAAGGTCCGTCGGCTTAACGTAATCTATAATTGAGGTCTAAATACATATCAAAGACAGGAAATGTTCATTAAGTTTAAGTATTAATTAGCATGAGATCCATGAAGTGATTATTCATTATTCATATATACTCTACACTTATGGCAAAACTAATGATTCACTTAATGTGTGCCAACTCTTACAGGAATTATCTCTCTATTTATAATTGAATCTAATTTTACATAAACACAGTTCATATGTTGTGATTAAATTTGTGTCTTAATTAAGTGTATAATTAGATTAACTATTAATTTAAGAAAAACATAAATTATTTATATGTAAATGCATTTCATGAGCCCATATATAGTGTAGAATATATAACAGAATAATCACAGAATCTCTGAATATTCTTCGCCAACAAAACTGACCACAAATGAGGGAAAGGCTAATAGAGTGCTGTGTTTGCCGGCGATGAGCTCCGGGTCGTCCAGGAGGTTGGGGTGGTATAGGATGTTGTGATGGGCATAGATTTGGTGCAGAATATTGCGCTTCTCTTCGTCGGCGTCGAGACCGACAGCCGTGTTGTGCAAAGTCTGCGGAATATTGATCTGATTCTGAAGACATTGAATGGCTTTCACACCGGAGTCGACCGAAATGACACGCGTTATGAGCGCGTGATTGTAGGCCTGACTCTCGCTGAGGGTGGGGTGGGGGCCGGCGGTCTTCATGCGCTTCTGAGTGGCCGTTGAGGTCGAGCTGTTGAGCAGATCGCTGAACGACACGTCCTGACCATCGCTGGTGCGGTCGATGCCCATCATTGACAACAGATCCAGCGGATCAAAGCCATCGCTAATGGTAGACAACTGACGACTTCCGGACGCGTGACGTCTTTTACTCAACTCTTTATTCGTATCACTCCTGCAATTAATATGACATTCAAAAGGGAAAGCCTATTAATAGAGCCATTCGTTTCAATTAAGGTGTCATTAAATTCATGGCACGAGTACTGCATGTGTTGTCACAGCATTTCGATGCCAACACTTGTGCCACGAATTGATCGCTATATCAGTAACGATGAGACAAACCTTAAGACACTGTGCAGAGCACGGCGTGTGTGGGGAAGGGCTGAGAATATAGCTATCGGTGCCCTCTT